GCGGAAATCGCCATTCGCTTCGCTTTTCTCAGGACCAGGTGGCTTCCCGGTGTCAGAATCCGCAGTCTGGGGGCTACCTATGCGTCGTCCAGCCTAGGGAGCAGGGGACAGGTGGGCATCCTAGGGCTGGAGGCTGTGTCATATTCCCCTCCGCCTTTCCAGGGGCCGGGATGGCTCTTCTGAGCCTCCTGCCTATTACTACATTGTATATACACTATATTATATCTGAGTTCCCTTGAAAGCTTCTGTGTCTCAGCTCCCTCCCTCTCCTGTTTTGGACTCTCTTCTTCCTGCTTCTCAATTCCAGCAGCACAGCTCTGCTGTTTTTCTCTCTCTCGTTCCCTCTGGCTTGGAGTTTACTCTCTGCCAGCTTCCTCCTTCGGCCTCCAACTCCAGCATCTACTTGGCAGTGATTAATCCTCCAAGCCCCAAGGAGGCAGCTAGATTCCCTTCCTGAAAAGGGAACAGAGAAAAAACAGAGGGCTCTGATTCTACTTTGGGATAGTATTTGGATCTGGGACATCAGCGGCTCACTTGTGATCTTCGTTTTAGAGAAGCTGGCACTGGGGCACTTGGATAGCGTTAGGGCGATAGGCTTCCTTCCCTGGCACTGGATTTGCTTTATCTTTGACCTCCCTCTGAAGAATTCAGCAATCTCCCCATGCTTGGAATTGCAATTTCATTTACAGCCACTGTTTCCTCTGCAGAAGAAAGCCTGCACGAGCATTGATTCCCCTCCCCCGCCCTTAATTTATGTCCATTGCAATGAAGGAACCAGGTAGGCTACTTCTAAGCCTTCTGCAGAACGGGCACTGGGCTTTGCTTCGGGGACGTACGTTCTGCAGAAGGCTTTTGCTGCGGGGTGTTGAGGACAGCCGTTGATCTTTTTCCAGCAAAGAGGGCTGGATTTCAGCTTCCTGTGCAGGGAGGTACGCCCTAGCTGGCTTCATCAGGTCTCGAAAAGCTCAGCGCGGTTGCACCTGGCCAGGGCTCGGATAGGAGACCTTCAGAAATCTCGGGCTAAACGTTATGCTGGGAAGACAAAATAATTCCCAGAAGGCAGGACAGAGTTTTGGTCGCTGCAGAGAAAACTGCAAGGATGCGCCCATCTCGACACCCAAGCGCTGAGCTGGACCAGACTCAAGGAGACTTTCCTTCTTTAGCTCTGACCAGATAAAAACCCGGTTCTCTTTCTGGAAAGTTATTCTGTTGTTGTTCCTTTTCTTCTGCAGGCCTTCATATCTCTGTTCCATAGCAAAACAAACAGACAAACCCTGTCAGAACAATGATTTTCCATTAAGAGCAGAGCAAACAAAGCTCTGGATTCGGGAGAAACCTGGTTTGGAGGCAACGCAGCCCCGTTGCGCCGTTTCCTATCAGCCTCAACTTGCCTGCTTCGGGGGACCCACTGCCTGGCCAGTTCCTGATATTTTTTTCAGCCATTTCCTTTCGGAGAGATGGTTGCCCGAGTTGTGCTGCAGGGAGGGGTTATTTTCCACTGCAGGGGGTTGGCTCATTTGCAGGCCAAATAAAATAAATAAAATAAACTCACCGAGCTGACCTGGGTGAGCCTGGTGGGGAGGCAGAAAAACCACCCTCTTGAGTGATTGTAGTAGTTGAGTAGTCTGGCTCTGTGACAGCCTGGATCTCTTCCTCCGCACCTGAGCTCTCCCTGTGGGGCTCCCCCCCAAGTGTCCCCGCTGCCAACTCCTGACACCTTCTCCCTTTAGAAGCATCATTGCTTGGCATGGGAGGTGTCTCAGCCAGCGACCTCTGCAGGGTTGCTGTTCTTCTTGGAAATACTGTTTGAAGATGGTGAATTGCCTGGCTAAACTCTAAAGCGGTGTTTCTCAACCTCGCCAACTTTAAGACGCGTGGACTTCAACTCCCAGAATTCCCCAGCCAGTGAAGTCCACAATTGCTGGCTGGAGAACTCTGGGAGTTGAAGTCCACACGTCTTAAAGTTGCCAAGGTTGGGAAACACTGCCGTGAAGGAAGGAGTTGCATGTTACCCCCTTCCTTGGTCCCACCTGCTAGGAAATCAGGCTACGTGGGTTGAACCACCAGCAGAAGGCTGGCGCAGCTCCAAAGAAGGAGTCTGACGTTACTCTCCTGGTCTGTCCAGACATTGGCGAAATTGAGGGTGCTCACCCCGTCTGCTTTCTGTACAAGTTCCCGCTTGATCCTGGTGAGAGGAGCTGTGGATAGGCACTCATCCAGAACTGCGATGTGCAGCCATCTCACGAGCATGGAGAATGTCGCTAGATTTTATTAACCTCCAGGGTGTTTGAATGACCTTCTTGCTTCGGATCCAAGTGAGGGAAGAAAGTCTGCCCTGAAGGGTTTCAGTGTTGTATCTCTGTATGAGGAGGCGCTCCTCTGTTGCTTCCCTCCAAGGGTCACTCGGGGCATTGTATTCACCCCTTTGGGGAGCTTGCCTTGTCTGGTCTGGTGGCTAGAACAGCCTCGCCCCACTTGGTGCGCATCAGCCCCAGATGGGCATTTTTATATGTTGGCTTGTTTACAGAGGCCTTGCAGATCTGAACTTCTGTTAAAGGACATCTGGAGAGGGAAGAAAGGCTTTTAATTCGAGCTTTAATGCCAGCCCACACATGGTTGTGGTCTTTTCACTGTTCTCCCTTTTTTGAAATGGAAATATTTTGTTGGCTTGCTGAAGCTGACCTCCCCGCGCGGACAAAGGGGGATTTGTCCGCCAGGCCGTAAACGCCACCATGGCTCTGAGTTTCTGGGAAGCTTCTCTGGGCTGCAAGAAGCGTCGTCTGCGATGGCTGCCGGACCTTTCTTCGCCCACCTTCCGCCCACCAACCTGCTCTAAGGCTCAGAACAGGGTGGGCAGGTGGGCGGCTCTCCTCATCCTTTGAGCCTCCTGTGCACGAACATTTTGGGAGGGAGAAGAGAGAGAACTCTGGGCCCCCCACCCTATGGCTTCCAGTCTTGGGTTTTGATTGTGTGGTGAAGATAGGAGGAGGTGAAAGGCCCATATAAGGAAAAAGCAGAGTAGAATAACAATTGTTCTCCTTGCAGGTAATGAATAAAGGTGCAGCTAGTTAATTTTAGGCCCTCCACTGGGTGCCTGCTGGGCAACCACCTACCCATTCTTTAGTCAGCTGTGCCACCATACCCATAACTTGAGCTGTGCAGGTTAATTTTCTCCCACCTGTTATTCCCTGCGTTTTAATCTGCTTCTCCATTTCTCTCAAGTTAGTGGGGAGAAAACTAAAAAAGAAGAATGCTGCAATTTAATCTCACTTAAAAGCGAAGCGGCCTTGTGACTGCAGGAATGAGATACAGTTTGCCTGGTGTTGCTTGGATGCAAACCTCACATATTTAGAAACAGGCACCAATTTGTTACAGGATCCTACGCTCTTTTAAAGAAAAACAAACTTTATAATTAACTCTTTGGCTGGACATCCTGTGATGATGAAATCTTTTCAGACACGAACCCTCTTGGCTGGGCTCCTCCAGCTCCTGAGGAGGAAGTAGCCAGGGCTGCTTTGGACCCTTCGCAGCGAGGGTCTCCCTTTCCCGAGGGGCCCAGGACCCTCGTGGTCACACCCCTGACATTTCTCGCAGTTGAAGGCGGGGAGGCTCCTTTTCCGTGGCACGGCAGCTTTTGACGTGTAAGGAGACAAAGGAAAACAACAGAGATAAAGAGGCCTGGATGATGTAAGCTGCCACCTGCACGCGGAGCGTGACTCCCTTTCGGGGTGGACTTTAAACCAGCCATTCTTCCCCTTTGGTTCAGGCATCCTCATCTGGCCAACCATTTCCTCCTCTTGCAGAAGAGAAGGATTCGTCCTGAGCCTCTCCCTCCGCGGGCAGGGACCCCTGCCTCGCTCCGGGAGAGCAGATGGCGCCTGGTGGCGTGGCTCTGCCTGCAGATTCCCATGGGGGCACGGCCAGTGCGTTTGGCAAGGGAATGCCACTGGCCCAGCCCTTCCGCCTGAGAGGCTGGGAGCAGTTCCGGTCAAGGAACCCTTTGGTTTATAAATCCAGAAGAGAAACAGAGAGAGGTTGGCAGAGAGACAGGCCAGATGAATGGCATTTCACCCCTGGCAAGAGCAAGGAAAGGGCATTCAAAGCCCACTTGCACCTGCCTGCCAGTCATTGATGCAAAAGGCGTAAGGACATGCCTGCTGGCCCCGGGGACCCCTCAGATGCCCCTCCAGCAGGATCCTCCGCTTCCCAGGCATCCAGTTAGGCTCTCCTGAGCATCAGGGACCCCTTAAGGAACCGCTGTTGGTGGCTTTCTCCCATCCTCTCCCTCTGTGGACTTCTTGTTCTCAGCCCACGTCCACCGCTGAGTTTTGCAAGAACGTGACGCGAGGAGGCCGGTCCCAGCTCCTCGACTGCCCGTCGCTCCCCCTGAGCGAGAGGCGCTCCTTCCCTCTGGCCACTTTCTCCAAGCGGCGCATAATTTCATCACCCGCCGCCGGGTCTTATCTTCTTAGGCTGGCCGCCCAAGCTCCGCTGCCTTTCCTTTCAGGGCAAAGGCTCGCTTCGTAAACATTCCTCGCGAGCAGAGCGCAGCGCGGCCCGGCTGCTGCAGTCGAGAGCCGCTGGCTTTTCCAGAAAGATTTGCCTGAGAAGTGCGTGGGGGACCTTTGTCCCACGTCTGCTTCATCCTTGCGAAAGACGAAACAGAAGAAAACGCCCTGTCCTTAGCCAACCGCAGTAAAAACATTGGGATGTGGAGGGAAGTTCTGAATTCTGCTGTTCTAAAGAAAAGAAAAGGAGCCCCCTTTCTGTCCAGCTCTGCAGGAGGGCCTTTCAGCCCCTGCGCAGGGTCGCTCTTCGTGTTTAGCGGGCCCTGCCCCGGCTCCTTGGGCTGCAGGCCCGGATGCTCAGCGGAGAAGTCCTGGGAGAGGGCAGTGCCTCCTCCCTGGGAGACCCCAAGGCAGGCCTTTCCACCGCTCTTCTGTCCCCACCTTTCTGGGGTGAGCAGGGCTCGGGTTTAGAGTGTTGCGCGTGCGTGTGAGAGAGCAAGCGCCTGCAGTGCCTTTGTAGGGCCTGAACCCAGTTTCTGCAGAGGGGTGATTCACGCGTGGCGTGGTGTCTTAGGGGCAGAACAGTGTGGCTGCTTGCAATGCAAACCCGGATTTGGTTGCTGTGGAAACGCAGCAAAGCGTATCTTCTTCATAAGGCTATTTTATAAAATTTTGCATAGGGATCCGAAAGGGAAGGGGGAGCAAACCGGATCAAGAGGCAAAGAGCTGACGTGATCCGCTTTCCCCCTCCCGTAAGCTGCTAGCTGGGAACCCTTCCTGTCCAAAGAGTCGGTGAAGACCGGGCGTACCTTTTTCTCCTTTCGGTTGCGTGTTAACCAAAGAATTCTCCGTGGCCCTCGGAGTTTTATGGCTTTACAGCCAACATTTAATGCTGCATTTTTGTTCAAGGAAGTCTCTCTGCGAATAAACAGATGAAGACTCCCTTAATTCCAGAGTTACAAAGAAGGAAATAATAAAGTGCGTGAAATGAATACTCTGGCTCTGGGTGCTCCGAAGCAGCCCCGGCTTGCGGGGCTTGGCCTGCTCGTGAGGGACGCCCGCCAGTTGAGTTTCCCTCCATCGGCCTTGAGGGCCAAGAGGGAGCCTTGCGGGCTGCGGGCTGCGGGCAGCGCCACCCCCAGCCCTGCCCTTATCAAATTGGCCAGCTTGAGCGGTGCCAGGCGTGGCTTCCTGCTCTTCAATCTGAGCACGACAGGCGTTTCAGCCGCATTGAGAGGCTCCCCAGCTGGCCTTTGGGGCTTTGCGGGTGCAGAGGGCCCCGGGCCCCTTTGAGGAATGCCCTCCCGCACTTTCAGAAGTAAACACCAGACACGCTTCCGAAATTTAAAGGCAAGACGAGGCGTCCTGTCTCCCGACTCGCTTGGTGCTGCCTGGTAGAAACCGACTAATAAAACAGGGCTCATGTTTCTGGTGACAAAGTGGCAATTGTGAGCTTCCCACCCCCCGCCCTGCGAGTAAACAAGGGAGGAAGGAGCCTTGGGGATTGGGTGACAGCCTAGCCGGAGCAGTGGGGAGATGGCTGCCCTCCCCCGGAGGAAACGTGGCATGGCTTGGCTTGGTCTGGGCGCGAGAGGCTGGTGGAGCCCAGGCCCGAATGCACGGGCCGCCTTTGCCCTCGGCTTTGCCAGTTCCTCTCCAGGCAGAGGAAGGCTTCTGCTGGCCCACGGCGGAAATGTTTTCCCCTTTCGTTTTCCAGAAGAGAATTTAGATCTCCTCCAAGAAATCTCTGGAGAAGATACCAAGGTCCTACCCCCGCCCCGAGGCATGTTTGCACATCCTTCTACGCCCGTGTTTCTCAGCCTTGGAGGCTTTAAGACGGGTGGACTTCAACTCCCAGAATTCCTCAGCCAGCATGCTGTTTGGAGATTCTGGGAGTTGCAGTCCACACATCTTAAAGCCACCAAGGCTGAGAAACGCTGCTCTAAGCAGTGCAGGGATCTTGCACGTGGCTGACTCGTGGCCCAGCTGTAGCCGGACAGGAGCAAACAGAGATTGACGGCTGCCTCAGAGGTGAAGCCGCGACTGTGGCTCTGAAGCCCTCTCAGTTCCTCTCCCGGCTCCCCGTTTCAGAGAGGCTCTTTAAGTCAACAACTCTGGAAGAATCAGCAGGTTATTTTAATCGCGGCCAAGTGCCTCCTGGCACCTTTTACAGATGAAAGCTTAGGAGGAGATAAAAAGTTCCAGTTCTGTTGAGCCTGGAGGAGAGGTGGGAGGTGTGTGGAGCTGTGCTAACGGAGAAGAGCAAACCGAACCGGTCGTTCCGAGGGGAGAGATGGGGGTCCGGGGGGGAGGCGCTTTGGGGCCCTTCAGTCTTGCGCAACAAAGCTTGTCCCTTGTGGGTTTGTACTTTGCATTAGGTAATGTGGCTTTTGTGTTTGATTTAATGTGCTGCGTGAAGCCAGCTAGTTGGGGTTGACTGACCATGGTTTATTGGTTAGTTCAGGGTGTGAACACAGCCAGTTGGGGCAACCCATGATTTAACAGGTCATTTCAGGGCTGCGCATGAAGTTAGTTGCTGGGTTGCTTTGCTCTTCTTTTCTTCCGTAAAGGAGAACAAGGGAGGTAGGATTAGGTAACACACTGAGCCTGGTTATTCAACATCCCCATTTTCACAATTCTTTGAGCGATAAACTGCCTAAACACACTGCGTTTGCACAACAGCTGAAGCTGACATCTTCTGAGCAGAACAAACATGGGAAGAAATCTAGGCCAGTGAGTCAGAAGGTGTAGTTGGCACTCCCAGGTTGCCCTTCTGATCCATTCCCACAACCGTGCTGGCAAAGAGGAAGGTGAGTTGGGTGGTCCAGAGCCCCGCTCAGGTTTTTGGGAGAGCCAGCTTTTCCCCATGCCGGGCAGAGGCCCAGCCTGTTCCTTTGGCACAAAAGCTGCCAGCCCCCGAGCGACGCGTGCGTGTGAGTGATGGAACTGGGCCACCCCCTTCGCCCCCCGTTGCCAGCCGGCTGCCTGGGGATGGTGGGCTCCTTCCCACCCCCCGACTCATCCCAAGCCCTTTCCCCGCAGTGGGTTCTGGCCTTCGAGATCTTCATCCCGCTGGTCCTTTTCTTCATCCTGCTGGGGCTGAGGCAGAAGAAGCCCACCATCGCTGTGAAGGAAGGTAAGCACCTGGCCGCCTGGAGCGAGTCTGGTAAAACTGGTGAGTCTTCCCCAGTTGCCACAGGCAGAAAGTCAACAGGTAAATCCTTTCATGGGCTTTACTAGGGTCCGTGCTGGGGAAACCCAACCAGACATAGCGGCGGGAGGCTTAACCCAGTTAGTTCTGTGCGCTTGAGTTAGCAAGATCTCCTCGCTGACTTCCTGAGCTTCAGACCGAAAGCCTCCCTGCTCCTGACGGGAAACAAGTGAGCCTGGTGCAGAAACTCCTACAGAGGTGCGATGGACCGCCTCCGCCAAAGCAGTTCCTTCAGCCAAAGAACCAGGAAGCCAAGCCAGTCCGCAAGGGCTCTTGCTTCTGGGGCCCAAGGAGAGCCAGGGGCCTCAGGAGCAGGGAAGAGATTGGGTGGATTGGCGTGGGGGGAAAGGTCCGCGTTGCAGCTGCTGTGCCGTAAGGGTTCATCTGAAAGGAGAAAAACTCTGGGAAGATGGAGAGTAATAACTCCTAGTTTAAGCTCCGTTGGCATTAGGAGCAGCCCTTAGGTCCTGGTTGGCTAATGCCCTCTGGCGCAGCACCTGGGGCCCTTTCCTAAATGCAGCCCCGAATGCCCCTCTCCCCTGGCCCACGTGAACCCGCATCGCACTATGTATTGCACAAAGACTGTCCGCTCTCACGTTCGAGGCATTGCCATCACCTGCCCGGTTTGCTTTGGGGTGTGTTTTTCTTTCGTCTCTTAAACATTTTTTTTCTTCTCTCCCCCCCATTCTTACTTTTCTTTTCTTTTCTTTTCTTTTTTTTTTTTTTCTTTTTTTTTTTT